CTGCTGGAAGCAATAGATGCAGTGGTGGTAGAGATGTAAGAAGGTAAATTGTCACATGGCTACTACTGACAAGTATGGAAGGGAGTCATGTGATACAAATGCTAAGTAATGGAAGGTAAATGATACAGAGGAAGGGTAGGATCCCATATACCTGCTACAATGAGGGTATCTGTGAACGGGTCTATGTACCCCTGGGTTTTTCCAAACCTATACTCATACCTGTCGAAACCCATACTCTTGGGTGTGGGTACAGGTTTACGTGGGTAGGGGTACAGGTTGCACTAAAGAAAACCCAGGTTACCCATGCCAATCCCTACATATACATGGATCCAATAAAAATGACACTTGAAGATGATCAGTCAAAGGGAATGCACTGAGTACTTCAAGAACATGGATTCAATGTTGCAAAATTATGTGCTAAATGCTCTCCAGTGTGCCCCATCCGAAATACCAATTGCTGCATGGCTCATCTGCTGAGTTGACAGGATGACTTCAAATCAGCCCTCAATGAGGAGATATGTATACATGAATACAAGAATATGTGTATATGTGAATACAAGGATATGTATATGCATGGATACATGAATACAAGGATATGTGTATGCATGGATACATGGATACATGTATATGTGGATACATGAATACAAGGATATGTATATGCATGGATACATGGATACATGTATATGTGGATACATGAATACAAGCATATGTGTATATGTAGATACAAGGATACAGGAATATGTGCATACATGTATACAGGATATATCATAGACAAATGTTACCTGCTGGTAACCCACTGGTAATGTTACCTGGTGCGCAGGTAATGTTACCAGTCTGAATACCTAAATTCTTGGCATATATTGCCATTGTTCCTCATATTTTTATATTAGTTCTCAGTGTATCTACATTGTCCCTTTAGCTGGTTTAGCCAAATATGGAATGTGTGGCTCTCAGAGCCATTATCAATATTTTTGTGACAATGTGTTGAAGCATCGCATGAGCCTGCTCCTAGTTGGATTTAATTATATTAACCCCTTCAAAATAGCATTTAGAAGCTTGAGAACTGCTTTTTCAATGAGCCCTCCCAGAAAAATGGTAACATTATTTTTGCAGGCAATAGTTCTGAAGACCAAATTCCAGCAAAGAACCTCATTAAAATGTTAATGGTGCATTATCTGAATTTTGATGAGTCTCACTACAGATGTGGCTCTTAAAATTTTGTCTTTATTCTTGAGATATAGTCTATTTGGTACATCTAAAAAGGTTTCCTCAATTGCGGAAACACCTTTCAATGCCACAATCAGGGCCTCACTATCCACTATCATTGAGTTCACATTTGAGGATCCCGTTTTTGAAGGAAAGGCAGGAGCTGCAATAGCGGTTTCTACCTTCAGGATGCATGGTTTCCTCGATCAGGGTCACCTCACTCGAACAGATGAGGGGGTCACACAGGAGCTGCATGGAGGGGGGGACTGAGGTCCAAACAACCCAGTTGGGAGTTCAGGGATGCCCAAGGGGAGGTCTTTACGCTGCCACTGCTTTTCTGAGCGGACTCCGGCCGGACTCCGTCGGACTGACGGTACAGTACTTTACTGTGCCCTACCTATTCCTGTCAGACTCCGGTCATTCCAGCAGAATCCGGTGGAATGGGACAGGACTCAGACCGGAATCCAGTGGAATCCACCGGAGTCCAGTGGATTCCTGTGGATTCCAGTTGAATAAGACCACAATCCACCATAAATAGCAGTACTTTACCCAACCCCACATGCTCTAATCAGTGCTGATCAGAGTTTCTACAATCAGAATGGACCAGCACTGAGCTAGAGGTCAGGTGACTTAATCTGCATTGATTCAACTCCTCAAAACTCTGAATTTCTTATAAAATTCACACCTAGTCAAGTCATATATCTCAATAGATCAGGTTTTAATGTATTTTATTAATTACATAAAAACTATTTTACTACATACAGTGCATATCAAAGGGGACAAGGAAGAGGGGATGGACAAGGGGTAGGGACAAGGAAATGGGGAGGGACAGGGAAGGGGGTATAAGGAAATGGGGATGGACAGGGAAGGGGGAGGGAAAGGAAAGGGGGCAGGGACAATGAAATGGAGAAGGGGATAGGGACAAGGAAATGGGGAGGGACAGGGAAGGGGGAAGGGGGTACATGGGGGTACATGGAAATGGGGAAGGACAGGGAAGGGGGGAAGGGAAAAGGAAGGGGGGGAGGGAAAGGAAGGGAGGGACAGGGAAGGGGGGAGGGACAACACTCATCGCCGTGTGTAAGTGGTGAAGTGGGATGCACTCGTCGTCGTTGTGTCATGTGGTGGTGGTTATTAGTGAGATGGGAGGGGATGAAGGAGCCTTGGGGCACTCACCTTTGTGTGAATGATGAACGACGACATTGTCATCGTCGTTCATCGTTTGGTTGCCACGTCGCTGACAGCGACGTGGCACCTTGGATTCCCACGTCGTCATGCGTTGACGTGGGTGTCCATTAACATGGGCGTCCGTTGACGTGGGCATCCATTGGTGTGGCCGTTGTTCGTTGGCGTGGTCGTCGTCCGTTGACGTGGTGGTGGTCCGTTGACGTGATGGTGCATGTTTGTGGTCCGTGGGCGTGTTGTGGTTTGTGGGTGTGTTGTGGTCCGTGGGTGTGGTCATGGTGGTCGTGTGTTGATCTGGTCGTCCCTCATCGGGATCAGAAATCAGTGAAAAGTGCGAAATTGGCATACTGTGACCTGGTCATTTTAGATAAAAATTATATGAAGTGGTAGAAGGTAGGGCTGGGGTAGCTAGAGGGTGGTTTAAAAGGAATTACATGTAAGAGTTGATGCCTTTACATAGTCGGAAGTTGCGCCGTGCGGTCAAATTTAGCATCCAAAAGTTGCGCGCTGGGCGAAAGTTGCGTGCGCTCGGAAAGTTGCGTGCGGGGATTAAATGTGCAGAACAACCGCCATAAAACATAAGCGCAAAGGGCGGCATTTATTCTTAGCACCTGCCTTTTATATTTAAAGTTCAAGGCGGAATTACCTTGCTTGTCAAGGTCTATTTCCACAGTCATAATTATGTAAGCCGTCATACTGTCCCCCAAGGTCATACATCACTTTTATTTCAGCCGAAGCGTTAGAGACCGCTCTAGACTGGCTGCCAAACACAACCAAGCCAATCCGTCGTACTGCCCCAAGGTCATATATCACTTTTATTTCAGCCGAAACGTTAGAGACCGCTCTAGACTGCCGCCAAACCTAACGGTGCAAATTTGCCATCCAGTTACTGAGAGATTTCTGTGATACTTACTCAGTCTACTGTCTTCAACAAATCTGCTCAAATTCTTCAACTTATACAATACTACTTACTAGTAACAATACTGACCAAAAGATGATAGATGCCTGCTACGTAAGTAGTGGGTCACACTTTTTTTGTAAATACAAGCTTCAGACCCATCCACTTTCATTGGCTGCGAGGAGCGAACCGCGTAAGTGGTTCGGCGACAAGCAGCCAATAAAAGATCACAAACTTACTCTCATTTTTAATCACCATAGTGGGCTTCAAAGCGCCCGCAGGGGCGCTACAGTGATTATTATTATTTATTTTGCATGAAATACAAGCAAGGTTTTTGTTGACATTGGAACAATGTCAAACTCTAGTCTCAAAACTGGCTGCTGTTTGATTAGTATTGTTAGCCCAGGGTTCTTGTACGAGTGAATGGATAATCTAAATGTGCTCATAATTTTCGTTCTGTTTTCGTTCTGGTTTATTTAGGTCAACTTTTAACCACAAACGTCCAAAGTCAATTCAGCCGCCCCGCGTGAAGGACGATCCCCAATGCTATGAGCAACCTGTAACCCTCCTAACTGCTCTGATACCCGTCCGCCCACCTCAACCACTCGCCCCACACACCAATGCGTGCCATAAACCAAAACTGCAGGGACATAACCACCCCTACCATGGAACAAATAGTGATCACACTTTCTGGCCAGGCGTCGAAAGCCACAAGCTCGAGGAAGAGCATGAGGGAGAGGGCGGAGATGAACATGCAGAGACCTGGGACACGTGCTGAGAGGGAGAAGAAGAAGTAAGAGCCATATACATCCCGAGCACGAGCCTGGATCAGGAAGGGTTAGAAGAGACAGCTGAGTAGGAATAGGAACATACAATGAATGTCTGTAGGTCTGCCCAGTTGCATCTTAGAAGAAACCACGCGTCACATGCGATGCCGAGACCAGATGCAATGCTGCTCGTAGCAATAGCACTCCGAGCGTAGGAGTTGACATCGAATAGTGACCCTGGGGAGATGGAGAAGACGGCTTTATCGACACTGATGTAGGGGACATCAGCAACTCTCTGGGAACGAAGTTGAATGTACATACGCTGCTAGTGCGACTAGCTGTATGAAGAGATCGGGTAAGAACGGAATCAGGGAGGGAACGAAGAGAAGAGTGCTCACCAAACCTCCGATATAGGTCCACTCCGTCTGTAAGCACGCAAACACCTTGTCATATACTGAGTCCGTAGTAGCTTCCTTCAGTTCGCTGTACATCGTAAATGACGCCAGCACTCTCTCCATCAGCGATAGCGACAGAGCGGCAATTTGACGATTTGTTGGGAAACGAAAGTGAATTCGTAAAGGCATGAGGTCGGGGATGATGATGTGAAGGTCGACGGTCACAGGGACGACTTTGGGGGCGGATTGATCTGTGGCTGCATCGTGAGACCGATGGTGGAAGGCCATTTTTTCAACTAGTGCGACACCACAGATGTGGGATGCTGAGAAAGGTCCTCGAGCAACAGCTGCAGTTTCTATTGATTCGAATGCAACATCGCCCACAGCAGCTACCAACCCCCATTCCCAGAGATCAGACAAAAGACGATTGCTGCATGCACAGCGACTGCATGCTCTTTGCGACTTTTCATTGCTTGTAGACGAGGCCATCTCCCACAAACGTTGCACCATAGCTTGACGGACATCCCTCAAATAAATTTATACCATGAAGAGAATTGTTATCCTGGTCCAAGTGCTGCACGCAAATCCACACGCAGTCCCGTTCATCGCGTCGAAGCCAACTATCGTTTATTGTGTCGTGTCACGTGATGGCAAATGTTCAAAGCCAACCATTCTGCAACCGTCAACCCAATGAAACCGTCTAGAGTGGTGACGACGAGGATGGAAGCGCGTTGATCAACAGCGCATGGGGTGACGGCTACTGACATTCAGATAAGACTGGTAAGTTTGGGTAAAGAAAAGATAAAACCTACCTTAATGACCAATCGTAAACTGCATATTACGAGGAATTCGAGCATGAGTTGGGCTTGAGAGTGAAATAATAAGGGATTAGAGTGCAGAGAGATTTTGCCCTAGAAAGAGTGGTTGGGGAAATTGCAATTTTGGCGCGAAGTGAAGCCGTGGACCAAATCCTCCTGTTATCACTGAGTGTGGTCGAGGGTGTCGCACGACTGCTGCGCGCGAGTCATCGCAGGAGATGCTTCGATCGGGGATCAGCCGCTGCATCAGCATCTTTGCGAAGTGAGAATTTGCTCCGTGGCCAAGGTATCCAAGAACGAAGATGGCAGCACAGAGATGACGTGTTGGGCAAAGCGCGAATTCGCTCAATGGCCAAGGTATGTACCTGCAAGGGTCATTGAGGTGCTCGCTGGACAACCAGTTTTTCACTTCCCCAATGATCCGTTGTGCCTGACAACGAATAACACAGAAGATGAGCCAGAAATCGGACACAAAGGTTCCTCACACAACGAGAAGGCCCAGTTGGCAAATACACTATGGGCCGCCCATCCTGCGACCCCCTGGGTCATCAGAGTAGAGTTTCCATTTGTAGCCTGCCCAAATGGCGAGAAGTGCATCATCGAGCAAGTGGTCTTCTCCAACGCCTCGACAAATAGGTCCGTTAGCGCCTAGACAAATAGGTCCTTTAGCGCCTTCGGAACGCATCATGAAAGTCGGTTGGTACAGGTTACCAAGTATGGGTTCATAAAGGAGCAGCGGTCAATGTGTTCATGTCGCCTGATGTCAACAGTTTGTCTGGCAGGTTCAGACCCTTCCCACCCGGGCAAAGCGCGAATTCGCTCAATGTCCAAGGTATGTACTGGCAAGGGTCATCAAGCTGGCAGGTTCAAACCCATCCTACCAAGGGCAAAGAGCGCATTCGCTCAGTGTCCAAAGTATGTACTTGCAAGGGTCGTCAAGGTGCTCGCTGGACGTGCCTAGTAACAAATAACTAAGAAAATGAGCCAAGCGTCGTACACAAAGGTGAGATTAGTGACCTCTTGCAGCTCTGGCATTCCTTGAGGGTCCGCAAATAGGATGATGTAACCCCTTCGTCCTCGCACAACGAGAAGGCCCAGTTGGCTAACTGTATCGGCCGCCCCATCCCACGACCCCCTGGGTTGTTGGAGTAGAGTTTGCAGTTGCAGCCTGGCGAAAATTTCATCATCGAGCAGTCTCCTCCAACGCCTGGACAAATAGGTATGTTCGCGCCCTCGGAAGGTATCATGAAAGTCGGTCGGTACAGGTTGTCAACTATGGCTCATAAAGGAGCAGCGGTTGATTTGTTCACGTTGCCTGATGTCAACAGTTCATCTGGCAGGTTCAAACCCTTCCTACCCAAGGGCAAAGCGCGAATTCGCTCAATGGCCAAGGTATGTACCTGCAAGGGTCATCAAGATGCTCGCAGGACGTGCCTAGTAACAAATAACTAAGAAAATGAGCCAAGTGTTGTACACAAAGGTGAAATTAGTGACCTCTTGCCACCTGATACTGCCAGTACTATGTATCAGATATAGTCTATTGACTAAGTCTACCTATGCATCACAGCAGTCAATTGACCAACCTTCCTAATCAGGAAGGTAGCCTTGCTGAGCTCCCTAGAGCCAGCCTTGGTGCTCACTGATTCCCACGGCTTGCTCACTGTTTTCAGGGTCCAAAAGCGCACTTCCAAATGTGGTTGTTTTCAGGGTCCAGGGCACATTGCCAAATATGGAAATGTGTGCTTATCTAAAGGAAAAATAGCAATAAAATAGCAGAAAAATCAGAAAAAATGGGGGATGGTGGTTATGATGGTAGGTTGTTTTCAGGGTCCAGGGGATGTCCAAATATGGCAATCTATCCAAACATGGCCAGAAAATACCCGAAAAATCAGGAAAAATTGGGGGATGGGGTGATGATGTTAGGTTGTTTTCAGGACACATAGTCAAGGACACTATAAACTAAAGTGAACTACAAACTTTTGTAGTGAAAAAGCGCACACCCTACAAACTTTTGTAGTCTCAAAAAGCAGACACTTTAAATTTTTGTAGTGAAAAAGTGCACACCCTACAAACTTTTGTAATGAAAAAGCACACAATACAAACTTTTGTAGTCTCAACAAGTGGACACTTTAAGCTTTTGTAGTCTACTGCAACATACCCCAGCCATTTCTCCATCAAATATGTGCCATGAATGGGATGGATGGGTCAGGCTGACTTTGGATGACCTTTTAACCCTAACTCTAACTTTATAGTCTAAGTCTGACTTTTGTAGTCTTTTGTAGTCTGTCAGTAAACTTTGTAGTCTAGGTCCAACCTGTAGTCTTTTGTAGTTTGTCAGTAAACTTTGTAGTCTAAGTCTGACTTTTGTAGTCTTTTGTAGTTTGTCAGTAAACTTTGTAATCTAAGTCCAACTTCTGCAGTCTTTTGTAGTTTGCCAGTAAACTTTGTAGTCTATGTCTAACTTTTTGTGTTGTAGTCTTTTGTAGTTTGTCAGTAAACTCTGTAGTCTAAGTCCAACTTTTTGTGATATCTTGTAGTCTATTAGTAGACTTTGTAGTCTGTCAGTGTCAGTTTCCCTTTTAAGGCATGCACCTTCCTTTTTTTGGTCATTTTCCCCATGATACAATAATTGTAGCCCTTTCTTTTAGCTTTCTAAATGTGTTGAAATCATGTTGTTTGGTTTGGTTTTCATGGAGAAAAACACAAAAAAAAAAAAAAACACAGTGCTTTTCAAAATCTTTTACATCATGTCTCCACAACAGGAGCACTTCAGAACATAATTCAAACAGATTCAGGCAGCTACAGCATAGGACTACAACTTTTGTTTTTGACCATTTTTGGTAATTGATCATGTGACCACCATCCCAACACCCCATTAGATGGACCCTGATAGGTAGAATCATTCTTATCTTGTTTTTCTTCACTTTTTGGTCAAATAAGGTGAGCTTTTCTTTGGGGTGGGCCCTGAAGTTGACCCTGAAAGTAGTGCCTGACATCCCTTACACCATTTACATTTTTCTGGCTTTTTTCTGATATTCTGGTTATTTTTCATCAGAAACAAAGAAGTTTCCTTATTTGGATGTTGCCCTGAACCCTGAACATCATCATCAACAGTGGGAACCATTTGTATTTTTTTCTGATTTTTTTGGTGATTATCTAGCTATCATTGGATAGATTACCATATTTGGAACTAGACCCTGAACCCTGAAAACAACCCAACATCATCACCACCATCCCCCAATTTTTCCTAATTTTTCGAGTATTTTTAGATAGATTACTATATTTGGATAGACCCTGGACCCTGAAAACAACCCAACATCATCATCACCATCCTCCAATTTTTCCTGATTTTTCGGGTATTTTCTGGCTATTTTTGGATAGATTACCATATTTTGACATAGCCCCTGGACCCTGAAAACAACCTAACATCATCACCCCATCCCCCAATTTTTCCTG